CCTCTGATGAAAAGTAGACTCGAAGCGACCTCCTGTATTTCTAGTACTTCTGAACCTGTTGCCTTGATTCTTCTTCTAGAGACGATTAACCCTTATGGACAGTAGAGATAACTCATCTTCATCTTCATCAAAATCTTCTTCTGAATCCTCGATCTCTTTAGTTTGAAGATCTTTGGACTTATCTGATTTTATGACAGATTTGAGCGTAATGGATTTCCCTCTTTTTTGAGGTTCATCTTGATCTAGCTCAATCTCATGTCTTCTTAGAGAACTCACCGGTTCTTCTAGAGAAGTGTTGTTCAGATCCTTTACAAGCTTGAGCGCAGTTACCATAGGCCTGCATTTGGATGGCAAGCTTATGATAATCGTCTTCACGTGATCTGATGTTGAATATCTTTTGTTCAGAACTCGCAGTCCTACAACTAAGGTTTTAAATCTTGAGAACATCATCTCAACTGTTTCATCATCCTCTATCTTGAAGGCTTCATACTTCTGAATCAAGGCCAAAGCCTTGGTTTCCTTGACTTGATCATTTCCTTCGCGAGTCATTTTGAGAGAGTCATAGACTTAGTTGAGTCTCTATTTGTGATCTTCTCATACTCAATGTAAGAAATAACATTTAGCAAGATAGTTCTTGCTTTGTGATGATTCTTACAATTCTTCTTTTTCTCATCAGTCATAACTTTTCTTTCAAGTTGCTTTCCATTCTCATCTTTAGGATGTTCGTAGCCATCGACTAACATATCCCAAAGATTAACATCGTGACCTAGAAAGAAACTTTCTAGTCTATCTTTCCAGTACTCAAACTTTTCACCATAAAAAATGGGAGGTTTAGCATTATGGTCATCTTTATCAGAAACCGGAGCAGCTGGTGGTGGAACAGGATCAACCATAGTGTTTCTAAAACTCGTTTCGATCTTTATCTGATACACTTAAGTGTTTGATAGATATAAATACCATAATCGGAGCTCTGATGCCAATTAAAGGTGCCAGAAACACAAGAAAGGAGGTTTGAATCGGGTTGCACCAAATATAATCTTTTTGCAACTCAAAACATAAAGATAACAAGTGAATAAAAATAGACTAACACAATTATTTTTATACTGGTTCACTATTAACTAAGTTACTACAGTCCATCCCACAAGGTGATTTGCCTTATACACAAGGACTTAATCCACTATAATCAACCAGATTACAGACAACCATAATAAGTCCGATCAACCCTATTGGAACCCCTAGTAAGTCTGTTGATCCTTATTACAAACCATTATGACTGCAACTAAAATCTTCTTGAGTCTCTAGACCTTCACTCAGTCACTTAAGGAACTTATCAACAACAGTTGATTTACAAAGATGTGTATACAAAGATGCTTTTACACAAGCAGATTACACAAAATTGAAGTACAACAACACAAAAGTGTTGATAGCAAGATACGAGCAACAACTCATTGCTTATTTACAAAACTGTACAAAATAATATTTCTCTACAGAGTTTTTGTGCAGCGGCTTAGTATAGATTTGTTGAACTGATTCGTTGATTTCAAATCTTCCAAGTACCCTTTTATATCTCAAAATAATATATTCATTGGAGGGTAGAATAGGAAATATAAATACAATTGTATTGTTCCCAACGGTCATGGTGAGATAAATAGACAACAGTAAAAAAATTTGTCCTTGCGCCACTCTAGAAAGTAGAGGTCACTGTGTATTTTTGTACTTTTATACTCACCATCACACTCAATCCCTTTAGTCTTGATATTCGTCTTCTAAGTCTTCAGAGGATTCTGATATAATTATTGATGAAGCATGTTGTAGAAGGACCGGAACTAGTATCTTCCAGAACCTAAGTCATTAGAACCTTTTAGGGCTTGTTCAGAGAACTCTTGCCTTAGTAAGTTCTTCAAAACTTGGTTGTCAGAAGAATGTCTTCAGATCTTCAAAACTTTGTTCAGAAGAATCTTTGTCTTTAACATCTTCAGAACTTGGAACAACAGAAGTAAATCTTTAGAAGGTCTTCACAACTTCCTTGAATAAGCCATGATCAGAAGCTCTTTTACTAATGTTTCTTAGAACCGTTACATAAGACACATTCCTTAATCTTGACTTAACTTGTAACACACCAAAGGTATTCTTCCAGAGTGTTGATTTCAGAACCTGGTGACGTCACACACCTTCTTACCAGAGTCAGAACCTACATGACAAAAGCCACACACTAGACAGAAACATGTTAGAGTATACAATTGTTCTTTTTAGATAACATGTAAAGTTATCATCAAAACATAAGGCCAGATGTAGAACAAAATTTATTCTCACAGAAATGACCGGATTGAGTTGCAAACTATGTCACTCTCTTTAAGACGTTTCACGAAACTGCCCAAAATTATGCAAGACAGACGACCAACAACGATGCCTCCAAGATAAAATAACTCAATTATATTTTGTACTATTGCTACTTGTACGACAGATAGTCGGTCTAGAAATACACCTTATATAGTACAAAAACTACTATAAACAATTTCTCATACATGAGAAATTCAAATAATCCTCAAAGAAAATTCAATAATGGTCGTTTGACTAGTCCATATAATTTCTCAAACGAGGAGAAACTCAAATAATTCTTCAAAGAGAAATTAATAATAGTCATTTGATAACTCCAAATATTTTCTCGAACGAGGAGAAATTCAAATTATTCTCCAAAAAAAGTTCAAGAAAATGTTCGAAAAATTCAATGAGTTGAGAGAAAAAAGGAGAAGTTGGCGCTTCGACAATTTGAAAACGTAGAGTAAAAAGAGTGAAGAAAAAAAACTCAAAAATAATTTTTGGTGTATTTTAGAATAAAACATGTGCATTCTTTATATAATAAAGTAAGTTAATCAAATAATATAATTTAAGCATAGTGAAATTTAAAGTTTTCTTAATTAACACGCAAAAGCAAATCATTTTTTATTAATGTAAGACTTAATTTTTCCAATAAATATATAGATGTAATGAAGAACCCATTTTTATTTGTAAACATTGATATTTAAATTTAAGCATCTTATGGGTTGGCTTGGACCGGGGAGATTGAAGAAACCCGATCCATTTCGAGGTTCTTCTAGAGAATTTTTTTCTGCCATTCCTCAAATATATCATCTACATATATTTGAACCAAAAGAATATGCCTTGCTTTTGGTCTAATAAACAAATTGATGTCTATTTTATCACGATTGAATCTTTGATTGATTAAAAATCCACTCAATCTCCTAGAATTTGATCCAACAAATATTTTTTGCGATTGTCCAACCTTGAGGCAACTGATTCGAGGTTATCTTTATTAATGTCCTCGTTATTTTGTGAAGGAGAAAGATCTTCTTTGGGATTTTTGTCGTTGATCAAGTTTTGTGTTATCGCACCTAAAATATCATAACAAGTACATTTTATCGTCTTTTGAGGTGTGGATTCATCGATCAAATGCAACATGAATAGATTATTCTACCAAAGTTGCTCTATGATTGTAAACTCTATAAATTTTACTCGTAGATTAGTACCCTAAGAATATCCCTTTATCAACATCAAATTTACCCTAAGTGAAATAAATTTTTGTTATTTAAAATGAAACATTTGCAACCAAAGACACGGAAGTAAGAAATATTTGCTTTCTTACCTTTAAATAACTCATAAGGTGTCTTCTCTAGAATGGGTCGAATGACCACCTTATTTAAGACATGCCATGTGGTATTAATCGCATTTGTCCAAAAGAATTTAGGTAGACTCATTTCACTTATCGATAAGTTTTTTCACACACCAATTTTTTTTTAAAAAACGATATAAATGTATATTGGACTTTTGACATACACTATTGAATTTTTTTATTTGTATTGAAAATTTTATTTTGTTATACAAAATATTTCGTGGGAACAATTTTGCTAAACTTTTGCCATGTAATATAAATTGGGGGTGTTATGGTGGCATTAAAGGTGTATTTGGTTCGAGGTATGTGAAGAGGATGAGAGGGGAAGGGATAAGATATTTATAATGAAATGTGTTTGATTCAATATTTAGTAGGAGATGAGAGCAAAATCACTCCAAATTATACTTTTCACGTTTCTGAAATAGAGAGATTCGAAGAGAAGAGAATGTGAATTTTGATATTTAATAAATTAATATATTTACTAAAATATCTTCAGATTTATTTTAGTATTTCAAAATTATTATTTTCTTTTAAGTTATTGATTTTGTTTTTTTGTGATTTCACTCTATTGTTTTCATCAATTTTGTTATAATTATTTTTTAATTTTCAAATTATTTTTATTTTTATTTTTTGAGTTTAATAGTTATGCATTATCATTGTAAAATAAATTATTTAAGCATTACTATATCAGTAACTTAAAATTTATTCTGATGTGCAGAATTTATGATGGTGATTAGTTGAAGTGTAGAATAATTTTAACCTGTAAGTGCATATATCAATTACTATAATTTTTTTTTTATTTTTTATTATTATTTATATTTTTATGTTTATTTGTGTTAGTGTTTTTTCTCATCTTCCATAACCACCATCTCAATGTTCTATTCCTTGGTTTTTATTCGTTTTATTTTCTTCCATCTCTTTCACCAATACAAGTTCGTTTTATTTTCGTTTAATTAAGAGCATCTTTTGGTGTTGTTATATTTCCATTTCAATTGTGCATTCTACGTGTTTGATAAAATGACACAGTAGATTTTGTTCAAAATGTGCATTGAGTATTACTTAGTTTATTAGTATTAGTATTAGTTCTTCTGATACTGTTTTTTTTTTCTTCCAGTTAAGTTACTTATCTATGTCATTCTATGTTTTCTGTCATTTTAATTAACTAGTTCATGTCATGTCTATTTTAATTTCATTCCTTCTTTTGGTAGTGAGATGCTATAGTTTTAAGATTTAATGTGGGTTTTCTTAAATGCTGTATGTTTTTTAGATAGTTTTGTTACTGCTGCTGTTTGCTTTTGTAATTTGTATACATTATTAATGCAAATGATATATGAGTAGATTTAATAAATGTGATGTTATTTTCTCTATTTCAGAATTGGACTGTGGGTTGTGGCCATTATCCAGAGCACTTAAGTTTTTTTTTTCCAATCGAGAGTTGATCTCATTGTTTGCAACACTCTGCACTCTGAGACTTGAGAATCGAGAAGCAACAACAACAGACTACGTCGTAGTATTTTGTGCCGCTGCCCACTTGATGCTGTAGTATTTTGGCACGTTAAGGTTCGTAGTCATTCATAATCTATTATGTTTGGTTTTTTTTTTTTTTTGAAAACTTGGTATCCGGCCTTGAGAATGACTAATCCAAGGGGACCAATCCCACCGTCCACTAGCGGGAGGCCATTTAAAGCGAGAGCAGAATTTTGTGTAGACTGGCACAACACAAGGATTACGAACACCTAGGAAGATTCGAACTTGAGACCTTGAGAGGCGCACACTCTCAAGACCCAAGTCTTCACCAACATGCCAACCTATAGGGGTTATTCTGTTTTGTTGTTAATTTGTTGCAAGTTTAGTCTTTATATGGTTGTGTTGAACTTTGTTGTTATACTGTTTTGTTTGCTGTCTTTTTCTACGGGGTAGTTTCGTTAAGCTTTGTCCTACTGTTAAACTTCAGCAAGAGAAAGAGACAAGCAGTTCTTTGTAAATCTCAAAGATCTTCTCTTTCTCCTTTCTCCGAACACCGACTATCTCTTACCCTTTCATTCACTTCTTCCCCGATCAATCTTCAATTATTACGGCTATCCTTTATTCAACACACTGTCGTTGTTCATTTCCATCTCTTTTCTCCAGCCAATCTGTTATGTTCTCCAACCTCTTTCTTGTCGCCAATGTTTCTCTCAAATCTCAACCCCATTTGCTACAACAGCTTTCAGTTCATTCGAGTTTATGCTTGCGTTTTATAATACCTTTTGTTTATTTCATCTAAATTTATAATTCACCTAATTTCGTATCTTTTCTTTGTGATTTTTCAGCTGGATTCTGGATATGTTTTCTGCAGCTTCAGTCAGAGGAGCAAGACACAGCTCATTCTGGCTATACTTAGTTGAACATGTTCCGACCATTGCATATTTTCCATCTTTTACTCCTTATTCCATACATCCAAGACATCTTTCTAAATTACCCCCAGTATGTTCTCCATCAGCTTTTGTTTCGCACCTGGGATCAAGTGTCATTGGAAGCCAAGGTAATCAGCTAAACCGCCTACCTTCCAGATACACAAGTAATTCATCAGTTGAACTCAAGACCCTAAATGATGTTGTACGGTTCTCTCTGTATAAGCCTGCCAATAGTAGTTCTGGAATCAAGAGCCAGAATCAAAATATGAAAAAATCTAAAAGGGCCAAAGTGAATGAGCTCAAATTCTATCGTTTGAAGGCAAAACAAAAGATGTATTCTCCTAATCCACAAGTTAGAATTCGCTATAAGCTTGAAAAGGTAGCATTTTTTTGTAATTGTAATTTTTATGTTTTAAGCTTTATTTTGTACTTTGCCTCAGCTGCTTGGTTTTGTTACCGATGTTATACTTTTATGACAATCTTACCCTTTTTAAGTGTCTACTTTTACAATTTTATCATAATGTAATTCTACATTTTCAAGCTTTTATATGAATAGCAAATATTAGTAAATTATTTAGTAGTAACTCAGATGGGTTGGAAAGAAGCATTATGCCTTTCACCCTTGAATTTTCCTTTCAATCTAACTCATAAATCTACAGGCCAAGCGAAAGGAAACATGGTTGATTGAAAAGCTTAGGAAATTTGATGTTCCGAAGCTCCCAGCAGAAACATTTGATCCTGAAATTTTAACCGAGGAGGAGAGGCATTTCCTGAAGCGCACTGGAGAGAAAAAGAAACACTATGTTCCAGTTGGGAGACGAGGAGTGTTTGGTGGGGTAGTTCTAAACATGCATCTTCACTGGAAGAATCATGAGACGGTGAAGGTTATATGCAAGCCCTGCAAACCGGGTCAAGCTCAGGAATATGCTCAAGAGCTGGCTCGACTGAGCAAAGGCATTGTGATTGACATCAAACCTAATAATATTATCATTTTTTACCGAGGAAAGAACTATGTACAACCCAAAGTGATGTCACCTCCAGATACATTATCAAAATCAAAGGTAATGTTCACTTTGCATTAGCTCTTCATTAGCAAAAAGGTATTTGATGACGAAAACTATGCCACAGTATTTTTTATGAAATTATATGGATTAGGTAAGGAAGGAGAAAAGCAAAAAATAGAGAATGATTATCATTGTGTAGTAGATGAGAGATAGTGATCAAAAAGTTTAAAAAAAAAAAATTCTGAACAAACTCTAATTAGTTTCTGTTTTATACAAAAATCTCAAAAAAATAATCATTTTTCACACGATGTGTAAATTACTCCTTTTAATTTGGATCAAATGGATCCTAAATTTTAGAAATAATCTTCTTGAGGTTGGCAGTTATCAAGCACGAGTGCTTTCCAGCTTTGTATATATTATTGGAATATCAGAGGGGTGAGATTATATAATGATTTAACACATTCAGTTAAAAACTTAAGTTATTACAGTGATCATAGTTTCTTGTTGAGCTTAAACTACAGTGAAGGGGATGGTTTATCTTAGAATGTGTTCAGGCCAATGCCCCGGATGAATGTCCGGAATGTGGAACTAAATGGTGGGTGGTCCGATAGTAGCCTAATGGATTTTAAACGAGGCCTCTCATACCATATTAGAATGCGTGAGTTAGATCTAACTCATCGCTACAAAACCGGCTTGTAGGGTGAGGATTGCCCTCACTTATAAGCACATGCTCGGACCATATATTGTCCGATGTGAGACTCTTAACAGTTTATATTAAATATTGTATTCTAATATTAATTATCAGTAATTTATAATATTCAATAACTTTTTTTACTTCATAATTCTTATATTTTTTAAATACTCACTATTTGATGAATGTGGTTAATTACTCCATCCGTTTTAAAATGACTGTCGTTTTAGCAAAGAAAATTTATTTCAAAATGACTGTCATTCTCATTTTTCAATGTAGAAATCATTGTTATTTTTCCAATTGTGCCATTTAATTATTACTTTTTACACTTCTTCCAACACATTAATAATTTGGTAAAAATGGAATACTTTATGACAACATCATTGTATTTCTTAATCAGTGTGTAAAAACCTTAAACGAGAGTCATTTTGAAACGGAGGAAAAACTGCTATAGACTTATGCCTTTACATATTGCAACCAAAGCAGTGTGTGTGTCAGGGAGTGCTACGCTCTCATAGGTCACAAGTAAAGTACTAGTGAATAGGAGCAATGATTTTTGTTTCTTTTGAGAGACTAATCCTCAAAAAGATAAACATGTAGTATTAGTAAATCCTGTATCTATTTTCCAGGAAATAAAAGCACCGGTGCTTTCATAGAGTGGATAAGTTAATAACTTTGAAGTGCTAATTCATAAACTTATCTTGAATATGTTATGTTGAGAAAGTATTGTGTTCTCTTCTAGCAAAGAGCTTATGTTTTCTTGCTTTTGAAATCTCCAGGCCTTGGAGAAATATCGATATGAGCAGTCCCTTGAGCATACTAGTCAGTTCATTGAAAAGTTGGAGAAAGAGCTTGAAGAGTATCATGAGCACGTTGCAAAGTTTAAAAAAGGGAAAGAGGATACAACTTAAGATGTTAGAGTGCACATTAGCATGTTATTCCCAATTGATATAAATGATGCTTGATTCATTAATTAAACTGGTGCAAGAAAATTCATTATGTTGTTTTGTAGAAGAAAAATGCTGATAACATATTCTTTTCCATCATTCTTTCCAATACCGCCTTTTTTTGGACAGGAATGTCATACACGAGACTCAGACAAGTGATCTTGTTTGCTTTTAAGGAAATGTAAATTTTTTGTTTTCCTTGAAGTGGCTCAAGGCCAGCAGCAATACCCTTTAAGTATTGTGAGATTTCTGTATGACATTCACATGCTAATTGTATTCATGAAATTTTGGTTTCTTATAGAATATTCCGGTATTGTGTTGTTGTAGTAATATTATATTCATGAAATTTTCTCATATATTTCTGCATCTTTCTCTAACCAGTGAGTTACATTTTATAATTTTCCTTAAATACAGCAGTGAATTCACTATTTAGCTAGTGACTGTCCTGGTGGTGTTTCTTACTCCCTCCGTCTTAGTGTTTAATTTGAGTTATACGTGATTCTTAAAAAAATGATTAGATGTGTTGATTTTAATGATAAAATTAATGTCATTTACTAAAACGTTTTTATTTATTATAGTTAATAGAGTAGTTGAAAAACGTGAAAACTAATAAATAGGGGTATAATAGTGGAAAAAAATAATAAATATTATATTGGTATTTTAAAAAGACATTTATTTTGAGATTTAAAATAAAGTGCAAATGAGACACTTATTATGATACGAGGGAGTAATAGATTTTGGATGCAATGCCTTTCATTTTTCACACGACTTTCTATTTATGCAATGTATTGGAGCAAATGTTATTATACATGTGCTGTTGCAACTTGATAATGTTGCTTATTTTCCTACCTTATATCTGGTTTGATTTTTGAAAAGAAAAGTGTGAGTTCCTGTTCTGCTACTGTGTCAATTTCATCGGTTACATGATTTGGTAGAATGTCATGCATCATACAGATTCTATCCCAAAGTCTCATTCATTAGTTTGAGATACCAATCATTGAAGAAAGATCATGCAATCCCATTCACCCAGTGTGTTGAAACAAGTTCGTTATGACTCAGTAACATAATTTATGTGTCCTTTCTTGTAGAACCTGTTTAGAAACTACACTATTACATTTAAGATGTGTAAACTGAACAATTTTACTATCAGTATTATCATTGCCAGAATGGCTATTCACTTTCGTGATAAGGCTATATATCCAATGCATATGATAAGATATTTGTCTTTAAGTAGTTACATGTGAATGAGCTCATATTAACTTAGTGAAAAATATAAAAAACTAGGAAAATCAACGTCACTAGCCAACCTGACCCGTGTCAGGCAACACAGCTGTCCGTGTTGGTCTTCTGGTTTCTTTATTTTCTTTTCCAAGCCCCGGGATGTGCAACACGGCCCGTGTCAGGTGACACGGCCGCCCGTGTTGCACCCCTGACTTTCCATTCTTCTTCAACTCATCCCAGGCCTTCTTCCTGACACGGTCCATGTCAGGTGACATGGCCACCCG